TGTTGTTTCATCGCTCTCGTATCGTAAGTACAGTTGTGTTTGTGTAATGTTTAAGATTTTTGATGAATGCTTTGGTTTTGAATTGAGGTGTGCAAGACACACCTCAATGTCAGGAAATATTTGAATGAAGCATCGGCCAATCCTATGGCAAAGGGAAAACAAGTTGTTGGCATTGTAATTATACTGAGCTCGGCATTACGGTAGTGTGGGTTTCTGAGGATACACATGTATCTCGGTGGATCACCCGTGTATGGAGAATAGTGGATTTTTCGTTCGTTTGAATAATTGCTTGTGGAAGTTGCAATTAGTTCCGTCACCTATGGATATTATTATAAGCCAATCATTGTGTGTGTGTGTGTGTATGTGTGTGTGTGTGTGTGTGTGTGTTTGTGTTAACAGTAAAAGCGGGTACAATCCGTCAGTGATACAGGGCATAATGCAGAGTGGCTTTCATTCGGTAAGTTGTGACAGGTACAGTGACAGCTGGTTGTACAACACGCAGTCATAGCATCTACAGAGACCACACAAGACCATCGTACCCCCTAACACGATGTGTGTTCGACCACGTGTTTGTAAATTCTACTTGATCCGTGGCCTATGAAGCTCGTGGTTGCGAGCGTGGCCTTGACCTACTGTATTGTACAAATTTTCGTTTGGAATTCACTTTCGCTATATTCGTTAGGGGGCACGAAATAACTTAAGTTTGTACCAAACTAAGTTTTTTTCTGAACGTTCGGGGTGACAGACCTCGGCCAAAAACGAAATTAATTAAGTACGCAACAAGCCTGCTGGTGGAGTGATCTAACGAAAGATTTCATGAACGAAAATTTGTACGTTTACAGTATCCCCGGACATGGCCCAGACCAGTGATGGCATATGCCATGAGCAAGTAGAAACTAAGCTAGTCCCATGGTAGACTGTGACGGTCAGGGCTCCCCCCCCCCCCCCCCCGCATCGCTTCATGTTACAGTCGCTCATGTGTCTCCGTAGATGCTAGGACTCTCTGCTATGGAGTAACACTCGGTTGGAATAGTTCTGGATGGACCGTCAACTGACTAACAACAACTCTCTTATTGGTCTCTGTGTGTGAGTCACCCAGTCTCGCTGGACTGTGTTGAGATGTGTAATCGACTTACTGTGGCTGGGAGATTGTGAGAACGGGACTGTTCTTCGGTGCTGGCTACTCCGTACTACAGCTGCGCTCACTGAAATCCAACCCGACGCACAAAGCTGGCGCCCTGGACCAGTTCCGATTACATCAGTGTATGCGTACATGTGTACGTCCGGCCGCATTCATTCCACTTCCAGCGCGTCGAGGGCCGTGGAAGTTGAGGGCGCCAGCTTTGCACACTGGGTCGGATTTCAGTGAGCGCAGCTGTGTAACGCTGGGTGTGTGTACCACTGTGTGAGTGTGCTACTATAGTAATGGTATGAACTGTGATAGGCAGCAGCAGTAGCAGCAGAGACTGTACTGCCTCTCCTCTCTGTTGTTCTTGTTACGGTTTTGTACTGGTGGATGCTGTTGGGTGCTAGCTCTACTGTCTGCTGTTCTTTGCACACCCAAACTAAGACTGTATCCTTGCTGTTGATGTCGTTGCAGGTTGTACGGCGTGACAGCGACTGGTCCTGTGAACTGTTGAAGCTTGACTTAGGGCATGCAAGAGATCGCTTCATCATTGAGTAAGTTCTCCTGCTACCGGATTGTAAAAGTTATAAAGTCCCCCCCCCCCCCCCCCCCTCTCCTGTGCCTGGGACCTCGATCTCCCTGTTCAACCCCCCCCCCCCCCTCCTGTGCCTGGGACCTCAATTTCCCCGTTCAACGACGTTAAACTCCAGTTGTAAGATACGGCACTGCTTCTGCAGTGTCGTTGGCGACGGCTGTTGATACATGTACACGGCCTGTTGCTAATGGTACTGCTCTTGCTGATGTCGGTGTGACTGCTTCTTCTTTCGCCTTCCTTGGCATGGGTGTCAAAGAACTGGTGGAAATACATGTACATGATGTGTCCTGAAAATCCTTGACATTCAGTTTTTAAAATGATCATCACTGCACCCTGTGGTGCATACTAGTCAGCGTGGTCACTGTTCTACATGTAGTGTACTCTCCAAGTGTGTCACCAGTCACAGTGGTAGAGTCTCTACACTGCGTGCATGCACTCTCGGATCAAGTACTGTATAGCAGGAAAATTTCGGACGGAATTTATTTTCGTACGATTTCGTACACGGCCTCTTTCGTACTAAAATTAATTCCTTACTAAAATCTGTTCATGTGAAATTATGTACACTATACATGCGTACTGCTTGCGAACACGTGCATTTAGCATGCAGCACTGTACGAAAATAAAATCCGTACGAAAGGTCGAATTTCGGATTTGTCCGAAGATATTTCCGTCCGAAAATTTCCTGCTATACAGTATGCGGAAGGTACGCTAAAGTGCTGCACTTCTTCGGCTGCGGTTGTTTGCTGCGGTGTGTGCGTCTATGATTGGTTGCTTGAAAATGTCCTTGAAAACTCCTCAAGTCTTGTTTTTTATGTATATTAGAATTTCAAATGTATGCCTGTGTGAGAACCCTGACTTTGTGTGTGTGTGTGTGTGTGTGTGTGTGTGTGTGTGTGTGTGTGTGTGTGTGTGTGTGTGTGTGTGCGTGCGTGCGTGTGTTTTTGCACTGTGCTATTCTGTCTTGTTGCAGGGAGGCTCAAGTAGCATTCGACATGATCTACAGATTGCCAACTTCATGTGAAATCACAAATGAGGATGCACGTATTCAGGTCAGTTTAGCTGTGTCCGTGTGTGCATGCGCACATGTGTGCGTGTGTGTGTGTGTGTGTATCTGGGTGCGTGTGTGTACCTGGGTGCGTGCGTGTGTGTGTGTACTAGTATCTGGGTGCGTGTGTGTGGGGGCGGGGGTGCGTGCTTGTGCATTCTTTAATTGCACCGTCCAGCACAAGTTGCTGTGACTTCTGCTTTGCCAATGTGCATCTGAGCGGTGCAACAGACTAAATGCTAAATGCTGCTGTTGTGGATGTGTTCTTGTTGTCTCTCCAGTACGTCAATCGAGGCTTTGAGAATTCGTTTGGCTTCTCGTTTGAAGCAGCCAAGGATGAGACGCCCAAGCAACTGATGCGGAGTCATGTCAACGAAGATGCCAGTGTGAGTGTGCAAAACCTGGACATCCCTGCTGTGAAGTTCTGCACTCGCGCGTTACAGTTGCCTATATGCAGTCGTGCCCGAGAAACACAACTGTGCTTGCTAACAGAACCAGACATCCTTGTCGGGGCGATGTGTGTATGCCTTACTGTCCGCCCCTGCCCTGCTAGCTTCTGCTGCTACTGTTTGTGTGCAGTGGTTGCTTCTTAGTACTATTTGCCTGTGACATATCAGTAGCAATGCACTGCCAGCCTTCAGCGTGGTTCCTGTCTATTATTGGTATTTAGGCTTTGAATGCTTGGTTTCACCATGCAAGAGTGTGCAACCCCCGCAGCTGGTCTGGTCCATGTCATACCTTCTTGTTGACATCATCTTCGTTCAGAATGCATGACACACACACACACGTGGTACGAAGCATGATTGAATAATCATACATGCTACTGGCTGTGTTTGTGTGCTTGCCGTTTCACTCTGACATGCAGAATCACTTTCGGGAAATTGACCAGACGATCCAAAATGGTCAGGTAAGATAAAGAGCTGCAGACTAACGTCCCCCCCCCCCCCACACACACACATGCACACACACACACACACACACACACACACACACACACACACACACACACACACATGTGCGTGCGTGAATGTCCTCATGTGTGTGTGTGCTGTGAAAGGTGGTGTCGGTCCGACCCCTAGCAGAGGACATGTATTACAGTATAGTCAGACCAGTTGCAATTGGATTGGCGAGTATTTTATTCTGCGTACATTGACTACACCAGCAGCATCACCACCACCAGCACCACCACCCCTACCAGCACCACCACCACCACCACCATCATCACCACCCCTACCACCACCACCACCACCCCTACCAGCACCACCACCACCACCACCATCACCACCCCTACCACCACCACCACCACCCCTACCACCACCACCACCACCCCTACCACCACCACAGCGCCACAACCACCACCACGACCACCACCATCACCACCACCGCTACTACCAGCACTACCACCAGCACCACCACCACTACCAGCACCACCACCACCACTATCAGCACCACCACCACCAGCAGCACGAACACCACCAGTGGTGGGTGGGTACGTGCGTGCGTGTGTGTGTGTGTGTGCCTGTGTGTGGCTGTAGCCTGTGTGCTCAGTTGCAATATTCCCACTCTCTGTATCTGTGTACTGTTGTTCACTGCTGTCATTGGTGTCTCTTTAGGCCTGGCACGGTGAATACTTTGCAAAGAACGCATCAGAGGAGCATTTCCCTGTCGACACGTTGCTGTGCCTGCATCCTCGTCTCAACGGGTAAGAATATATCCGTGCTGTTGCTGAGCGATACTTGGCTGCTACTGTTGCTGTTGCTGTGCTGTTGCTGTGCTGTTGCTGTGCTCTTGCTGTGCTCTTGCTGTGCTCTTGCTGTGCTCTTGCTGGGCTGTTGCTGGGCTGTTGCTGGGCTGTTGCTGGGCTGTTGCTGTGCTGTTGCTGTGCTGTTGCTGTGCTGTTGCTGTTGCTGTGCTGTTGCTGTGCTGTTGCTGTGTTGTTGCTATGCTGTTGCTGTGCTGTTGCTGTGCCGTTGCTGCTGCTGTGCAGTTGCTGTGCAGTTGCTGTGCAGTTGCTGTGCTCTTGCTGTTACTGTTGCTGCTGCTGTTGCTGCTGCTGTGCAGTTGCTGTTGTTGTGCTGTTGCTGCTGCTGCTGTTGCTGTTGCTGTTGCTGTTGCTGCTGCTGCTGTTGCTGCTGCTGCTGTTGCTGCTGCTGCTGTTGCTGTGCTGTTGCTGCTGCTGGTGCTGTTGCTGTTCCTGTGCTGTTGCTGTGCTGTTGCTGTGCTGCTGCTGTTGCTGTGCTGCTGCTGTTGCTGTGCTGCTGCTGCTGTTGCTGTGCTGCTGCTGTTGCTGTTGCTGTTGCTGCTGCTGCTGTTCCTGTGCTGTTGCTGCTGTTGCTGTGCTGTTGCTATTGCTGTGCTGTGCTGTTGCTGTTGCCTTGTTCACTAGTTGCCAGGCTACTTGTACTGTTTGGATGCACTGTGGTGTCACAGGCAAGTGCATACAAGGACTCTCATGCGATATCCAGGTTTCGTCTGACGCCGCTTTTGGGGTAGCGTGAAATTTCGCCCCGGGAATGGCGTCCAAACATCCTATTTGAACGTGAGCGGAGTGCAACTCGCCATGAACGCCTTGTCTGACGCGAAATTCCACGTTCGCCAAAAGTAACGTCATGCGAAATCCAATTGGTTGCCGAGCCTGCTGTTGCTGCTGTTGCTGCTATGGTTACACCTGCCATCATTGTAGTCTTCCTTTCATCATGTCCACTGTCGCCGTTGTTGCTGTCGTCGTCAGCGTCGTTTTGAATTTTGAATTCTTTATTCATTTGTTGTTGTTGTTGTCGTCGTCGTCGTCGTCGTTGTTGTTGTTGTTGTTGTTGTGACTAGTGGTTCTTTACACATGGCCATGAAGTCACCGGTGACGTTACAGAGCTTACAACGTACTGCTATTGACAAGGTGAGTTTCGGTGACGTACGGCTAGTGAGTTTTTGCTGTCAGTAGTGATCTTGTACTCTCAAACCTCGCTTACCCGGTCCTCTTTATCCGGATCCCTCGCCATCCGGAAGGAATCGTTGGTTACCGATTTATAGCATATGCCATGCATACAATACAGTATGACTATACATGTATGTGTGTTCGATTACCCGGTTCCCTCGCCTATCCGGATATTTTTGTTGAAAACAGACGTGTGCGGTTATTACGTTAAGCGAGGTCTGACTGTACCGTAGCACTGCAACTATGCAGTGGGAGACGTGGAGGGAGGCCATGTGTATGTCAGTTGTACATGCAGTGTTTGTTTCCTACTTTAAGTGATTATGGAATAGGTTGTTGTTTGTGTGAAGCCTCTGGGTGGGTCTTGAATCACTTTAACCTCTTCACACTGTGAATGAGAACGCCCTGGAGCTGTTCATTTCCTGGCCTTTTAGGACAATACATGCCCATCTGGTATTGTGCTGTGTTACCAAGAGTAGATAAACAAGAGTGTGCAACTCCGGATCTCTCCTGCACAATCTGCAGATACCCCCGCCCACGGCGGAATTTTTTGTTGACGTCACCTGTTTTCAGAGAAACGCGCTTTTTGCCGCAGAGCAATGAGGCACGTGCTGGGCACTGACCTTGTAGTGTAAAGCCCGGCCAAGAGCACGAGGGAAAAACTTTCCAAAAGACTCGCAGCGCGTACGTCGTCGAAAAGATTACGTCAACAAAAAATTCCGCCGTGGGCCAACCCATCCCGAGTTGCACACTCTTGTTTATCTACTCTTGGCGTTACCTAATGTTACATGTGTATTTGTACAATGGCAGTAACCGTTTTATAATCGCGCTGTGTATATGTGTGTGTGTCTGTCTGTGAATGACTTTATGTGTTAATGTTTATGTGTGCTTGTGTGTGTGTGTGCTTTTGTGTGTGTGCTTGTGTGTGTGTGTGTGTGCTTGTGTGTGTGTGTGTGTGTGTGTGTGTATATATGTGCACGCGTGCGCTAATCTCACAGCTTCGCGGCGCCTCGACTTCGATGCTTGACGCGCTGCAGCTTGGCGATAGCTTGACGGACAAGTCGCGAGCACAGCCTCGCGTACAGCCGATGGCCACAGGCAGCGAGTCACGTCGACTGAGTGACATCCCAGCACTGCAGCAGCAGCAGCAGGGCACACACGTTCACGGTGTTGATGGCGTGATAGCCACCACCGGCTCGGCGAGCAACGCCATGTTGTCATCGCTGGTCAGCAATGGGCCTGCTTTGTCGTCACTCTCTACGTCGTCGTTGACGAGACACAGCGTACGGAACGGCGGCGACCCTTCTTGTGACCTGTCCTGCTCCATAGCCGAGTTATCAGAGGTAACAGGCAATCTTCACTCTCTTTAGAGGTCGTTGCGAAAGTTTTTGTCGTCCCTGAAACGAACATGATTCGTTTTTGTGGGGGGTTGTGCGTGCCAAAATCGCAAGTCGACCGACACTGTACATATGACATGTACATGTATGTGATTTTCGTCGTCCAGCATAGCAAGCTGTGTTCGTTTCTGAGGGAGGGGTTGGGGTCCGAGTACGAAATGAACGATGTTCGTCTCAGGGACAACAGAAAACGTTTGCGACGACCCCTTACGCTAGCCGTGTGTTGCTTGTAGCCCTGATCCAGATTTCTACAAGTGTGCAGTGACAGCCCACGTCTGTGAACAGTACTAGCAAGTACTGCAAGTCTAACAAATTTTCGGCCCATTCAAATCTCGGCCTCATCAAATTTTCGGCCTGTACTGCTGCCGCCTGTGTACGCTGCAAAACTAAATTTTGGCCGCAACAAATTTTCGGCCAAACATGACCAGGCCGAAAATAGCCGAAAATAAATATGCGCCGAATATTTGTTGACTTGCAGTACACTAACAGGAATGTACACTCACTGGTAGATTCACTACGTCCACTCTTGCATGGAGTCTCTTTTACAGGCGAATGAGACTCATGAAGTGTAAGCCCAATAGGACGTCAAAAGTAAAGCAAAGAATATCAACTAAATGTCATAGCACAGATGAGTCAAGACTCATGAGTGATTGTAACCTATCTGGTGTGCTGTTTGCTTGCTTGCTTGTTTGCTGGCACAGGCGTGCGAGTTTGCTACCAGTTTAGTGGATCAGTGCAAGAGAAATGCCAGCTTACACGCCATGGTCGAGGGACATAAAGACACCATTTTGGTAAGCACTATCCTCTTTCTTCGTGTTAGAAATGCTTGTGTGTGTGTGTGTGTGTGTGTGTGTGTGTGTGTGTGTGTGTGTGTGTGTGTGTGCGTGTGTGCGTGTGTCGGATGTGTCTGTGTGTTCCTTCAGCTCATGTTTGTGTATGCGCCGCTACTTTTGTTTATTTTGTTGCTGTCGACTGTACTGATGCTGTCTCTGCTGTTGTGAATGGCTGTACGCTTTTTCTGCTACTACTGCTGCTGCTGCTTTGTGCTGTTTCTGCTGGTGCTGCTGATGTGCCTGTGACTGTGCTGTTGCTGCTGGTGCTGCTGATGTGCCTGTGACTGTGCTGGTGCTGGTGCTGCCTATGTTGCTGTGGCTGCTGGTGCTGCTTCTTCTTCTGCTGGTGCTGCTGGTGCTGCTTGTATTGCTGTGCTTATAGGCACAGATTCAGGAGAGACGGAGCACGTTTCGTCCGGCATGTGTGCCGTCCCAGGAGTCTGATCGGCCCGATTTCGTCAATAACTTTGTGTCGGTGAGTAGGGCAATGCTGCACTTGTTGCGGGCATACATGCATGGATATGTCTACTTCTTAGAAATTTCCAGTCCACGTGTTGTACTTACTGGTGTGTTGCTTTCAATAGAAATTGAACGATTACAACATCGATTATGTCATCAAGTGCCACCATGGTTTGTGTGGAGCGGCAAAGTAGTGGCACAAGGATTGGCTTGCCATTCCCGATGTCATATCCAATTTCATACCTGCAGTACTGTGTGCAACTCTATACAAACCGGGGATGAATTTACTGTCATGTTTATGCATAGCAATTTTTGCTATGCAAAATCTCAATTGTGGCGTAAGCTACAGAAAGCATGGATAGCCTGTACATGTATGTATGGCAGTTTTCTGCGTGTCACTGTGATTTTTGAGTAGCAGTAGATCGATTTTGCGTAGCAAACTGCGATGCGATACCAGATAAGTTCATCCCTGCAAACTAACCTTGCATTCCTTATGAAGCATATGTGATGATCTCATTCAATCTGCCGACAGGGCTGTTTCGTCCTTTGTGGACTCATCAGCGCAGCACAGAGGAAGTGAGGACGAACCTGACGGCAATGAAACATAAATTTTCCAAAGCCAGATCTAAACCAGGCCCGAACGTACCTTGCCAGCGTGCTCAAACTGACAAGTCAGTGAGCTCTGCATAGCGCAAACAGCAAAGGCACTACCCCACACAAGGGTGCTCAACTGCTACAAGAGCAGGAGCAAAATACTCAACCCCTACTAGTACATTGTCTGTCTTTCTCCTTTGTTGTCTCGATCATTATTATTTTCTTTTGTCTTCTTCTTCTCCTCTCTTTGTTATGGTCTATCAGTAGGTGCATTCTGTAAAAAAAATCTGTGGACAGAACTGTTTCGGGATGATCTCATTCGTGTACCCTCTTTAGATGTGTGATGGTCATGATTTAATGTGAAACTCTTTGTTTGTGTGTGTGTGTGTGTGTGTGTGTGTGTGTGTGTGTGTGTGTGCGTGCGTGTGCGTGTGTGTGTGATTGTGTGTCTGCGTGCGTGCGTGTGCATGCTGATTTCTGTTGTCGTTGTTTGCATTTGTGCATGCGCTTTCAACACCCACTAGTCTGATCCATCACCACCGAAGACTGCTAACTTGTACCGTAAGCACCACTACTTCTCAAATGCATTTCAGCACACGAAGCACAGAAGCCATATAATTTTTCGACTAGGCCTTTCATTCCTTGTTAATCACCATTGTATTCGACCTGAAGAGTAATGGAATAAAAGGCCTAGTCAGAAAAATCATATGGCTTCTGTGCTTCGTGTGCTGATTTGCTTTCCTCCAACCAAAAAATCTATTCAAATGCATTTCTACCTACATGTATACACATACCGTATCTTTCTCCTGGTTATATTTATTTTTTTTTTTATTCCAAGCAATACATGGCTGGGGTAGCCAATGACCACTTTGCGTGGCGATTGCAGAGTTTTTATAGCCAACCACGGTTGTATATTACGTACAGTAATTAGGCACCCCCACCCCGCACCATTTTCAGGTCTCCGTCATGAAGTTTTCAGTGTTTTCTATCGAGTGGTAAGTCGCGCTCGATTGGTAAATCGGACCCCCTTCTTCTAGGTTGGGGGGGGGGGGGGGGGACAGTTTCACTAAAGCATCGTGGTGTTCTAGCCATGACCTGGATGTCCTCAAAGGCTGCTGCAGTTGAGAGCTATGAATAGGCTGTTGTGCACACACTCGCTGACTCCTTGCCAATTTCTGAATTCCTAGTACCTCATACACCTTATATTTCATTCACCTTCATATCGTTGGGCCTAGTTCCCGTTTATTGTGCAAATTAAAATCAACCAACCAACATATACATGTACTACTACTAGTAGCTGCATAACTCTGCTGAATTTTCTCTGTTGCTGCCAATTTTCTCCATGACTTGGTGAAGTTAGGCTGCACTTTCACTGGTGTTGTTTGCCAGCGAACATTACGACCCATTGCTCTGACATACACAAACACTCTTTCTCTCTCTTACCGCTGTGTGCGTGTGCATGTGTGTGGCCACTTGCATGTGTGTGTGTACTTTGAATTCACAGACAGCTTGGCTTCTCGATTTGGCGTCGCATTTGAGCAGAAGACGAGTTGGGCAATGTATGATGATGAGGTGCGGGGTCTGGCAGCGCAGGCTCACCAAGCACTGGATACTCGCAAGAACTGGGAATGTGATGTGCTCTTACTGGAACAGGTCTCGGAGTCTCATGGGTAAGCTAGCCTGCTTTCTGTGTGGGGGTGGTGGGTGGGTGGTGGTGTAGGTTTGTGTGTGTGTGGGTGGGGGGGGGGGGGGGGGGTAGGTTTGTGTGGGAGCGGGGGTGTAGTTTTTGTCTTGTCGATCGTATGCTCAGGCTGCGTAACATGCTGTCAACTGATCAACTAAAAGTGTGTGTGTGTGTGTTGTTTGCACGTCTGTCTCACTCTCTCCATACCCCAGCCCGCTCTTTCTGATTGGAATGGCAATCTGTCGGGACTTCAATGTCTGCAAGTTTCTGAAAATCGGTGAAGATGTGCTAGCCCGTTGGTTGACGGTAAGCGCTCTCTCTCTCTCTCTCTCTCTCTCTCTCTCTCTCTCTCTCTCTCTCTCTCTCTCTCTCTCTCTCCTGCTCTCTCTCTCTCTCTGTCTCTCTCTCTCTCTCTCTCTCTCTCTCTCTCTCTCTCTCTCTCTCTCTCTCTCTCTCTCTCTCTCTCTCTCTCTCTCTCTCTCTCTCTCTCTCTCTCTCTCTCTCTCTCTCTCTCTGTGAAGTCAAGAAGGTAGTCTGTGTACTATGTTGAGTTGCTTGTCACATGACAGCTACTGTCAAACCGGGAATTTTCAGTGGTGTGATATTTTCGGTATTTCCCAAAATCAACGGTTCAATATCGCGAAAATTTCGGTAAACCAGTTTTCCAGATCCAACAATGCATCTTGCACACTGTGTGGCATGGCATGGTTGAATTTTAGGTCGCGTTTTATTTTAGGTAAAAGTCACCAGTACTGAAGTTATTGAAAATAAATCTCCACCGAAATTTTCCGGTTTTACAGTCCCATGTAGATACCCAATTAGCAGTCTAACGCAGCGTGCAATGCTTCCCGATATTGCATTCTTCGGGTGCACTCGGACCGGTCGTGTTATAAATGATGTAATGTTATGCTGCCATCTGTCTTCAGCTAATGGAGGCACACTATCGTCCTAACGTAGCGTATCACACATCGACACATGCCGCTGATGTCCTACAAGCGGCCAGTTACTTCATGGCCATGGATAAGATGCAGGTGAGTTCTTGGAATCTCAATCTCCCTCTTCTCTGTCTCTCCCCAGCTTTCTTAAACTCGGATGTTGAGCCAATAGTAAAATATAGAGAAAGGAAGTTATGAGTAACTGTCCACCACTGTAACTAGATACTATAATATGAACAGTCAGACTCTGACTATTGATAGTATCTAGTTACAGTGGTGGACAGTTACTCATAACACGTAACCATTCTGTTCCTTTCCTTTCTCTATATTTCTTTAGACAGGAAAAGGACATACCGGTATGGATACGAGTTAAGAGTAACTCTCCATCACTGTAACTGGATACTATAATATTATACAGTCAGAAAGTGCAATAACTAGGCACAAAACTGACAAGAGTACTGAGACATTCGACGTCCTGACACCTACTGTAAAACGACAAACTTTCGCGGCGGCTAAATTTAGCGTTTTGGCAAACTGGACCAGTTAGCGGCGATTAATTTTAGCGATTTTACCTTCCACTGAAAATCTTCAAGAATGTTATTTTACGAAGTCTAAGGCTATGATCGTTTGATCGGATCCAGATCCAGATCCAAATCTCAGATCCGTCGGATCCTTCAGAATCAACCGAACACTTTTTTGCGGACCTTGGCTGTTGCCATGTTGACGAAGTAAAAAATGGCGCTGACAGGTCACCCAAAAAAGGCACAAGTCGTACTGATCGCCCGCGTCGTACGAAAAGTCAACAAAAGCCCACTAGACGTACGACAATGAGTATAAAAATGATTTTTACCCACCATATACGCACAAAGGTCACATTTGGATCAGATGGATCCAGTCAACCCTGCTCCCGGGGCAGGGTTGCTCGGATCCAAATCCGAAGGATCTGGATCCGGATTCGACCAATCGATCATTGCAGATCCAGTGGATCCGATGGATCTGGATCTGGATCCGACCAAACGATCACGGCCTTGGAGTGCTGGGACGCAGAGCGCACGAAGAATGAGAGAAGAAATCAAAGAATGAAAGAATGAATCAAGGAATCAAAGATAATCATAAGGTGAGTACTAGTACTGCAAGAAAGGATGGCGTTTTCGAAGAGGGATCATCGGAAGGCTTTCTCTTCGAACTGCTGAGCCACTGCGATACTAATGGCGATAAACTTCAGAAGACTTCTTCGCGCAGTACAACACTAAAATCTACGCAACAGCAAGCTGGCCAAACACTCTCCACAACACTGAGACATTCTCCAGTCGATCGTTTTATTCTCTTCTACAATTCTGTTCAAGTCGCCGTACTCCAACGACAACTTGGAAGACTAGTGTTGGTACGTAACTTTCAACAGCTGCGCGCTTTGGACTTTAGCCGTGCAAGCATCGATCAGCGCTAGTCCAGAGTCTGTGCAGTGCATGTACAGACAGTGCAAGCATCGATCATCGACGCATCGCGTAGTACATGATTGTACAAATTTCTTATTCGCGTGTCAAACTTTCGCGATTCGGCTCTGCTCGTGAAAGTCGCGAAAGTAAATCGCTCGCGAAAGTTTGTCGTTTTACAGTAGCTTCAACACATCTCCGTAGCGCTAACCGACAGCCTTCCAACTTGGAAGGTTCAAGGTTATAGAAAGACCAAAGAGGGGAAAGTTATTGCACTTTCTGACTGTATATAATATCCAGGTCAGTGATGGAGAGTTACTGTTAACTCGTAACCATACGTTCTTTTCCTTTCTACATTCATTTCTTTATCTCAAATTAACTGTAAGAAATGATCTGTAAAGGTTCTTGATGCTGATGCTGCTAGTGCATGTGCTAGTCCTGCTGTTAGCT